ATGAGACAAAGTATATGTGAACTGCTGTATGAAAAGTGAATTTACTCTGTAAATCTTCACCCAAATCCTAATTAAAAAAAAAAAAAAAGAAAGAAAGAAAAGAAATTCAGTGACTGCTGCCAGGGAAATCTCACTGTTTGAAATAATTGGGGGAATGATGAATCTGTTTGTTTTTTTTTTTTTAGACTAATTTCCCAAGAGGATAAAAATTGGGGCGCTAACATCCAGGAACTGCAAAAGAAGGTATTACATGTTCTCTTCTCAGGGATTTCTGACTTAGCTACTGGAGAAGAGGGCAATCTGTTTTCTTTACCTCATTGAAAGTCATTTCTCTTTTTATTTCTATATTTTTAGTTTATTTTCCTAAATTGATGGAGAAAAATATTTTCTATATATTGTAGGGTCATTTTTTAGGAAACCAGGTAGTTAAAATATATATAGTCTAAGATGCACTCAGTTAGGTATTCAAGAGATACTATAGGACATGTGAGATGTAATTCTCACTCAATCCTCCCATGACCCAGGACACTTTGGGTCCTAGTGTGTAATGTGATTTGTGAGGGGGTTTCTCACATGCAGATGGCCCACCTTGCTATACTGTTTTGTTTAGGCCAAGAGTCAGAAAGCAGACTGGATACCTCTCTGTGCCCCTGGAAGAACAGGCTTGGGGAGAGGTAGGAAGGAGAAGCAGCTAAGAATTTTACTTTAATAACTCCAGAAAGTCAAATGGAGCAAATGTGACAGGCTTCCAAAAGAAAAAGTAAGCACAGACTTTGGATCACTTACACTTACATCAACTGAAGGACACTGCAACATTCTTTGACCTGCCTGACCCTCCATTTTCAATTTCAGAAATGGCAATGGTTACAGTGCCTTTCTCCACCAATCGTCTGTCAGTTTGTCATACTGTGGTGACTTGCATGTTGCTGTAAGGCTGGGGGCTATGGCACCAGTATTTCAAATACCAACAGGGTCACCTGTGGTGGACAAGTGTTAGAGCTTCCAGACTAAGATAGACTCAGAAGAAGCAAAGGGCCATCCACTTCTCAAAGAATTTGCCGGTGAAAGCCTTATGAATAGCAATGAAACACTGTCTAATATATTCCTGGAAAACTTCATGAATAGCCCTGAAACATTGTCCGATATAGTACCAGAAGTTGAGCCCCTCAGGTTGGAAGGCACTCAAAATACTACTGGGGAAGAGCTGTCTCCTCAGAATAGAGGGGACCTTAATGATGTAAATGGAGTAAATGTTTTGAGACCTCCATTTGCTGATGTGGCATGACTCAAAATGAGAAAGAAACAGCTGCAAACACCCATTAATAATTGGAACATGGAATGTACTAAGTATGGACACAGGAAAATTGGAAGTTGTCAAATATGAAATGGAACTCATAAAGATCAATATCCTAGGCATTAGTGAGCTGAAATGGATTGGTTTTGACCATTTTGAATCAGATAACCGTTTGACCTACTATGCTGGGAATAACAAATTAAAGAGGAATGGCATGGCATTTGTCATCACAAATAATGTTTCAAGATCTATCCTGAAGTACAATACTGTCAGTGATAGGATAATATCCATACACCTAAAAGGAAGACCAATTAATACTACTATTATTAAAATTTATGCATAGACCACCAAAGCCAAAGATGAGGAAATTGAAGATTTGTACCAACTTCTGCAGTCTGAAATTGACCAAACATGCAATCAGGATATGTGGATTATCACTGGTGATTGGAATGCAAAAGTTGGAAACAAAGAAGAAACAAGCCAGGTTTTGGTTACTTCTGTGCTGCTCTAACAGAAAATATACCACAAATTGAATGGCTTTAACAAACAAGAGTTTATTCTCTTACGATTTTGGAGGCTTTAAGTCTGAGTTCAAATTGCCAGGCTTTAGGGGCTGGGTGAAATCCCTACAACCTTGGGCTTCAGTTCTGCATCCTGCTTCTGGCCCACTAAAGCTGGAGGCTTTTCTTCATTCAGACAGCTGCTGGCTATTGAGGGTGACAAGCCCAAAGATGGACAAGTAAAAAGGCACGGGCCCAATGTTGCCAAACAACATGGCAGGCCACTAATTCAAGTCCAGATGAAGTCCCATGACTGGCAGGGCATGGCAGGCTATTGAACAATGACTTGGCTACTTGCAGGGTTCATGCATGCCAAAAGGCTAGAGAACATTCCCAAAGCTGTTTTTATATATATATATATATATAGGAAGCAGACCACATCCCTAAAGCAGCTATTCAGCTGCTTGTGGTAGATCTCACCATGAAGATGATTGCCAGTTTCATCATGGGGAATAACTACCACCAGCTGCCTAGCCACTCAACCAGGCCAACCCAAGTTGACACACAAACTTAACTACCACACACTGGTAGTTTGAAAATACAGCCTTTGTGATAGACATAACACTGGAGATTGCATGATAGAATTTTGCAAGTCCAATGACTTACTTAATTGCAAATGCCTTTTTTCAACAACATCAACAGTGGCTATTCCCACGAACTTCACCAGATGGAGTACACACAAGTCAGATCTACTGTATCTGTGGAAAGAGGTGATGGAGAAGCTCAATATCTTCAGCCAAAACCATGCCAGGAGCTGACTGTGGAACAGACCATCAACTGTTCAAATGCAATTTGAAGTTGAAGCTGAAGACAATGAAAACAAGTCCACAAGAGCCAAAATGACCTTGATTATATCCCTCCTGAATTAGGTACCATCTAAAGAATAAATTTGATGCAATGAACACCAATGATTGAAAGCCAAGGAATTGTGGGATAACATCAAGAACATCATCCATGAAGAAAGGAAAAGGTCATTAAAAAGACAGGAAAGAAAGAAAAGACCAAAATGGATGTCAGAAGGGACTCTGAAACTTGTCCTTGAATGGAGAATAGCTGAAGCAAATGGAAGAATCAACAAGATCAAAGAGCTGAACAGAAGATTTCAAAGAGCAGCTCGAGAAGACAAAGTCAATTATTATAATTAAATGGCAAAAACCTGGAGTTAGAAAACCAAAAGGGAAGAATATGCTTGGCATTTTTCAAGCTAAAAGAACTGAGGAAAGAATTCAAGCCTAGAGTTGCAATACTAAGGGAAGAGCTGCTTCTTCAGAGTAGAAGGAACCTTAATGATGTAAATGGAGAAAATGTTTTGAGACCTCCATTTGCTGATGTGACATTACTCAAATTGAGAAAGAAACAGCTGATAGATAAGTGTATGAAAGTGTATGAAAGAGTCTATGGGCAAAACATTGAATGATGCAGAAAACATCAAAAGAAGATGGCAGGAACAGAGAGTCACTATACCAAAAAGAATTGGTTGATGTTTGTCCATTTCAGGAGGTGGCATATGATCAAAAGCCAATGATATTGAGGGAAGAAGTCAAAGCTGCACTGAAGCAATTGGTGAAGAAGAAGGCTCCAGGAATTGGTGGAATAATCATTAAGATGTTTCAAGAATGGATGCCGTGCTGGAGGCACTCACTCATCTATGCCAAGAAATTTGCAAGACAGCTATCTGCCACTGACTGGAAGAGAACCATATTTATACCCATTCCAAAGATAGGTGATCCCACAGAATGTGGAAATTATCAAACAATATCATTAATATCACATGCAAGTAAGATCCCGCTGAAGATAATTCAAAAATGTTGCAGCAGTATATTGACAGAGCTTCTACAAATGCAATCTGGATTCAGAAGAGGATGTGGAACAAGAGATATCATTGCTGATATCCGATGGATCTTAGCTGAAAGCAAAGAATACCAGAAAGATGTTTACTTATGTTTTATTGACTAAGCAAAAGCATTTGATTGTGTGGATCATAACAAATTATGGATAGCATTGAGAAGAATGGGAATTCTAAGACACTTAAATGTGCTCATGAAGAACCTACACATAGACCATGAAGCTGTCTTTCAAACAGAGCAAGGGGATACTGCATGGTTTAAAATCAGGAAGGGAGTGTGTGAAGGTTGTTTCCTTTCACCACACTTATTAAATCTGTATGCTGAGCAAGTAATCCAAAAAGTTGGAGTATATGAAGAAAAGCATGGCATCAGGATAGGAGGAAGACTCATTATCAACCTGTGATATGCAGATGAGGCAACTTTGCTTGATGAAAGTGAGCATGACTTGAAGCACTTACTGATGAAGATTAAAGTCTGCAGTATGCATTATATCTCAACATAAAGAAAACAAAAATCCTCACAACTGGGCCAATCAGCAGCATCATGATAAATGGAGAAAAGATTGAAGTTGCCAAGACTTCCTATTACTTGGTTCCACAATCAACACCAATGGAAGCAGCAGTCAAGAAATCAAAGAATGTACTGCACTGGGCAAATCTGCTACAAAAGACCTCTCTATAGTGCTGAAGAGCAAAGATGTCTCTTTGAAAACTAAGGTGCACCTAACCCAAGCCATGATATTTTCAATTGCCTCATATATATGTGAGAACTGGACAATGAATAAGGAGAGTTGATGCTTTTGAGATGTGTGTTGGTGAAAGATACTGAAAGTACCATGGACTGCCAAAAGAACAAACAAATCTGTCCTAGAAGAAATGCAGCAGGAATGCTCCTTGGAAGTGAGAATGGCCAGGCTTTGGTCATATTATCAGAAAGGACCTTTCCCTGGAGAAGTATATAATGCTTGGTAACGTGTAGGATCAATGAAAAAGGGGAAGGCCTTCAAGAAGGATTGACACTGTGGCTGCAATGATAGGCTTAGATTTACAAGTATTGTGAGGCTGGCGCAGTTTTAGGGAGTGTTTCTTTCTGTTGTACATAGGGTCACTGTGAGTCAGAGCCAACTCGACAGCATCCAACAACAACAACAATAACAATGCCTTTCTATGGTCAGTGTCACTGCAGGGAACACTTGTAGTGCCTCCTCTCAAACCTGGAACCTTCATCAGAAAATCAGAGATTTTCCACTTTTTCTTGCCATGCCCCCTTCCTTCCTAATTCTCCATCCTAGAATAATCTAGCAAATAGTACTTCCTTGAAATTAGAAGGGAGCTGAGTTGGATCTCAGCTGAGCTGCAAGTCTTTGCCATGGGCTGGGGAGAGAGGACAGTTTCTTGGTTCATTTTCACTATGAGCACAACAGAGGGGTGGCATTATAGCCTGTGCACACAGGATGGTACACTGCAACTGGAGCTGCCATGATGAGGAGAAGGACTCGGTTTGTATTTCTGGTGGCTGCAACTTTTTCTCTTTGGCCAGAGAAACCAAGAAAGAATGTAGATATGTAGATAGATAAGTGTATTATTATTATTATAGCCACTCCTTGGAAGGAAGATGGGGCAATCTACTTCCCTAGTGATACTGCCTCAGAAACCTAAGGAGGGGTCTCTATGAGTCGGGGCTGACTCAACGGCACATAACAACAACATATTTAATGAAGGACCCAGGACAGTTGTCATTTACACGGGGTACCGTGACTATAGTACTACACAGCACAGGGCAGTGTTTCGTTCTGCTGTGCTTAGCATTGCTATGAGTTGGAGACAACTCGATGGCACCTAACAACAACAATAACACTGTGACTACAGAGGACCTGAGTTTGGTGGAGCCCACTGATACCTTGCTTCCTGCCCCAGCCTCACACAACCATGGCCTGTGGAGACTTTCTTAGAAGAAGGGGCCTTGTTCCTGTCTCACCCCTGTGATTCAGGCTGACTGGAAGAAAGTTCAGTAACTCCAAGGTTGGTAAAGATCCAACAGGGGATGCTTGACTTTTGGCACTGTCCCTGTCCTGTGAATGACTTTCGCAGATTCTACATGTGTCAGTTTTATAGGGTAGTGCCTTCCTGTGTCCTTGGGAGCTTTACACATAATAACATGGAAAGAGGCTTCTACAGGAACCCTATGTGCTGTTATGAAAACTAGCCTCCTCAATACCTAAGTGTTTTTTGTGCAATAGGAAGGGAACAGTTAAACTAAACTGTGTGGCCCATAGAAAACGAGTAAAGTAGATGTAGGGAAGCTTGAGCCACTGCAGATTGTTTGTCAGCTTCAACGGGTTTCCTAACATCTCTCTCTAAATGGGTGAAAAAGCCATTAATCGGGTGTTTTATAAAGGGATTTTCCTACATTAAAATTTTGTTGTTGTTGTTGTTGTTAAAGAGTTTGAATAGTGTAATACTGAATCTGTAAATTTTTTACTCTATCATATTTCCTAATTATGTTATTCAATTGTTGTTGCTGTTAGGTTTTATATATCTTTCATTATCAGGAGAAATGTGTAGTGATTCAAATTATGTAAGATACTGTAGGAATCAGACATTGTCCCAAGTAAATCAGCGATTTTTCTCTCTCACAGCACAGAATATCAGACAGGACTCTGCTTGCCAAAAGCTTGATGGTGTTGGGAGTTGTTATCTTCATGTTCTTTCTCAATTCATTTGTCCCTGGCATTCATCTTGATCTTGGTGAGTCTGTTTTTTGTTTGTAATTGACATCATAGTCAAGAAGTGGACATTTCAAAGTAGTGCCCCTGGCACTGCCTTGTCTGCTAGTAGCTATGCTGGCCAGAAGGCCAGCAAAGGAGGAGTGAGGATGAAGGCTTTTGGTGAAAAGAATGGAATCTCTTCACTGCTTCAAGAAAGGCAGAGAGAGAGAGAGATTGAAGGATAAAGACATATAGAGAGGGAGAGACACAGAGGTAGAGACAGAGATAGAGGGATGGATAAAGACAGACATAGACAGGAAAACAGAGATACAGTGACAGAGAGACAGAGACAGGGAAACAGAGAGACAGAGAGAAAGATGGAGAGAGAGTGATAAAGAGACAGGAAGATAGAGACAGGGGGATTAAGAAAGTGACGGAACCACAGTGTATGTGTCTCCAGCCCCACAAGGTTCAGCTGTAGAAGGGGTATAGAGCAGTTATTATTATCTATATAGTACTCAGCAACTAGATCTTTAGACTGTTCCTTGAGAATAAACCCCAGAAGAGCCAGGAAGTAATTTTGGCAAGGTTAGTTCTTCCTTCTGTGCAACTGGACTTGACAGGTAAATGAGACACCAGCTGTGAAAGATCTTGAGCTTTGCCCAGACACCTGCATAAGCTCATTCTCCCTCCACCTCATGTGAGGTTTTGTCTTTCTTCATTCTGCACCCATCAGCCTGCACTGAGGTAGGAGGTGCAAGCACAGGCCAGTCTCCAGCTTCTTCCTTCCAGACTATGGACTTTGCCTCTTCAAAGTTCTGCCACAACCACATTGTTATTGTTGTTGTTGTTATGTGTCATTGAGTCAGACCCAACTCGTAGCCCCTCCTTGGGTTTCTGATGTGGTATCACTATGGAAGTAGATTGCCCAACCTTCCTTCCAAGGAGTGGCTGGTGGGTTTGAATCACCAGCCTTCTGGTTAGCAGTCAAGTGCCTTAGGCACTATGCTACCAGAGCTCCTTCAACCACATTAAGTTCACTATTTTATCTTGCTAACCACTAGGATCCTTCATATTTTCTACTTCTCTAAAGTTTTTCTTATTAATTGAGCACTTTTCTCTGTTGGTGTCATTATTTAAAGAATCTCTGCATCGTGATCTGACCAAATTATTGGCAGTTTGAACCCACCAGCCACTCTATGGGAATAAGATGAGGCAATCTTCTTCCCTAAAGATTTTCAACCTTAGAAACTCTACAGGGGCAGTTCTACTTTGTCCTTTAGGGTTGCTATGAGTCACAGTGGACTGGATGGCAGAAGGGTGGGTCATTCATTAAAACAAAACCTCCTTCCAACTTCCAAAACACACCCTCATGAAAGTTTGAATTTATGAGAAAAATAAATCTAAGGTGGTGGTGTCAAGGACTGCTTTTGTTAACTGTCTGTCATAAATCAACATCATGGAGTCTTCTTAAGTAAAAGCAAAAGAGGTTTATTGAGGGATAGAGAAGGTCTGGACTAGGAAGATGACCAAATGCACAGGGTGAAGATGGCCTCTCTGTAGGACAATGAGGAAGAAAACTGTTTTGTACAGTTGGACCAGGAATTAAAATTAGAAAATCATAATTGGCTGAAAGATAATTAGGGAAGTCAAAGGCATGATGTCTAAAAGTGGAAATTTAGCAGGGATAGGTGGATAACATATATGTGGGATTACATGATTGGATAAGGGTACATAGTAAGCCCAGGTGCTTTTCAGGTATTTCAGGATGGTCACAGGACAATGACAGGACAAGCTTTTTCTATAAAAATTATTTTCTCAATCATGTCTGTTTCTGGGGATCCATTGTAAAAATTTATTGATAATACTGTACATCAAGACCTTTTGGGTATAAATTATCACATCTTGCATCTGTTTGACTATAGTGTATAGTCTCTCTAGGAATAGATTGTGATATGCTGCACCTGCCAGATCTCAGAGAAAAAGAATATCTCCTTTAGGGTGTAGGGTCAGCATGAAGGTTAGGTCAGCATCAAGATTAGAGGAACAGCTGTTAGAAAAGACAGTTTTAAATTTCAGTCTGGATTCTAGACTCCTGTCAAAACTTTAAAATGGACTTAAGACTCCACATGCAAACAGCTCTATTTATATATACCAAGTACTTCTGATTTTAAGCTCTTGTATGTTAATCAAAGCTTTACTCATGAATTTCCTTCAAAAGTGAACTCTGGATATTGTTAATGGTGGCACAGTAGGAAAAATATAATCAATGCCATTGAATTATAATTATGGAAGCTGTACTGGTGAATGTTTTGGTATGTACATTTTTAACACAATTAAAAATTAATCTTTGCTAAAATATTTAAAATAACTTAAAATATTTGATTTGCTGCAATATTTGAAGAATATTGAAAAGCAATCTCTGGACTTTATAAAGCTGATATATATGGAGGGCAACCTCCAGTTACTAACATTGCTTTGTTGCTTCTCTGGCTTCTTGGCTACATTAGAAATCTTTAGATTCTAAGTTAGGATCTCCCTGTTCTTTTCTAGTAGAAAGTCACATTTCTAGAATTCTCATTCATAACACATGATATGTATAATTTTGACAGGGTGTTTAGATTTATATCACATGTTCACAACCTCTCAGAATTTATTACCCTAAACAATTGCAAAATTCCATTTGTCAGGCACTGTGCACTTGGTTCTGTTGTTGTTAGGTGCCGTTGAATTGGCTCCAACTCATAGTGAACCTATGTACAACACAAGGAAACACTGCCAAGTCCTGCACCATCCTCACAATCCTTGCTATGCTTGAGCCCATCATTACAGCAACTGTGTCAATCCATCTTGTTGAGGGTTTTGCCCTTTTGTTGCTGACCTTCTTCTTTACCAAGCATGATATCTTTCTCCAAGGACTAATCCCTTCTGTTAACATGACCAAAGTAGGTGAGATGAAGTCTGGCATTTCTCACTTCTCAGGAGCATTTTGGCTATACTTCTTCCAGGACAGATTTGTTTGTTCTTCTGGCAGTCCACGGTATTTTCAGTATTTTTACCAGCATCACATTTCAAAGGCATCAACTCTTCTTTGGTCTTCCTTATTCATTGTCCAAGTGTCACATGTATATGAGACAAGAGAAAATACCATGGTTTGAGTTAGGCACACTTTAGTCTTCAACATAATACTTTTTATCCTTAACACTTAAAAGAGGTCTTTTGCAGCAGATTTGCCCACTGCAATATGAGGTCTGATTTCTTGACTGCTGCTTCTATGAGTGTTGATAGTGGATCCAAGTAAAATGAAATCCCTGACAACTTCAATCTTTTCTCCATTTATCATGATGTTGCTTATTTGTCTAGTTATGAAGATTTTTGTTTTCTTTATGTTGAGGTGTTATCTGTACTGAAGACTGTACCATGACCTTCATCAGTGTTTCAAGTTATTTTCACTTTCAGCAACTAAGTTTCTGTCATATGTACTTGGTTCTGAGCTTTTTTTTTCTACACAACTGAGTCACTCCACATAGAATCACAATAAAAGAATGACAAATACAAAAGCCAATGTCAAAAACATAATAGATTTTAATTGTATTTGTTGAATTATATCTAGAAATCATTGCTAGAGTGTAATTATTTTTTTTTATCACACTTCAGACATAATGTGATAGTAACATTGTTGTTGTTGTTGTTATGTGCTGTCGAGTCAGCCCCGACTCATAGCGACCACTCCTTGGGTTTCCGAGGCAGTATCGCTACAGTAGTAGGATTGCCCAACCTTCCTTCTGAGGAGTGGTTGGTGGGTTTGAACCACCAGCCTTCTGGTTAGCAGTCAAGTGCCTTAGGCACTATGCTACCAGAGTAACATAAACCTTAAACACTACAACAATGTTAACTGGTTACTTATAGTAACTAAACAAATAAAATAAGATAGATGTTTTATTGACCATGGATTTCTTTCTTTTTAATGTGCTTTGGGTGCAAACTTACAAAGCAAATTTGTTTGACATTCAGCAGTCCATGGATATTTTGATTCACACTGCAATTACCATCCCCAACCATAAAAAATTTTCCTCTCTTCCCCTCCCTGTAACTCCCTGCATCCTTCTTAACTATGCATTCCTGTCTGTCTAGCTTTCCCTCTATGTGAATGCTTCCTCTCTGGTGTCTCATGGCTGGTTGCTCTAAGGGGTGCATCTCCCTGGAGTAGGTGGTGGCATCGCCCTGAGGTAGGTGCTCTGCATGTAGGAGTTTCTGCTGTTGGGCTGAGAGCCAATCCATGGGAGTGAGTCCATTTCCAGGCCTGAAGAGTAACCTGGGACCATAGACATGGGGTTTCCATCAGTCTCTATCCAGCCAGTAATTCTGGTCATTATTGTGTTTTTGAACTTTGTTCCATATTTTTCCTCACACTCTATCCAGGATCTCCAGTTTTGATCCCTCTCTGAGTGGTTGGCATTGTTAGCCAGGCACCATCTAGTTCTTCTGGTCTCAGGGTTATGGAGGCTGAGGTCCTTCTGGTCCATCTTATTCTTGGACTAATTGTATCCAGATGTCTTTGATTTTCTTCACTCTTCTTTGATTCAGAAAAGTGGAGACCAATAGTTACATCTAAGATGGCCACTTGAAAGCTTTTAAGACTCCAGTTGTTAATCACCGAAGTAGGTTGTAGAACAAGATATTTATGTGCTATGTTGTGCCAATTAAGCATGATGTCCCTTGAGACTATGGTCCTGATCTGCAGGCCCAGTGATTCTCTCTCTCAAGGTGTTTGGTTTTCTGTGAGAACTTACTCCAATTCTGTCTTCAGTTGTTTCCGTAATGTATGTAGCTAATTTTGTATCACAAGTGCATATGTAAGATTATCCTCAGCCAAGTCTATCCTTGTTGTTGTTGTTGTTAGGTGCCGTAGAGTCACCTCTGACTCATAGCAACCCTATGCACAGCAGAATGCAACACTACTTGGTCCTGTGCCAGCTCTGTGATCCCTGCTACACTTGACCCCATTGCTGGAGCCACTGTGTCAATCCATCCCGTTGA